AGCTGCATGTTAGATTTCCTACAGGCTCATGTTGCAAATACTTCTAGTAAAATTAAATATTTTCACTGAGTCTGTGAGAAATATTTCACTGAAGTCTGTAGCTATCTCAAATAGGAACAAGTTGGATAAAGAAGATGCAAAAGTTGTCAGATAGTCCTGAAAGAAGATGGATTTTTTTTAAACAGTCACTCTATTGAGGTATAATCGACATGTAAAAAGCTGTGCGTATTTAATGTCTACAGCTCAGAGAGTTCAGGGACAGGCATACACTGGCAAAACCAGCACTGCCATAAACACATTCCTCACTTCCTGAAGTTTTCCTCCCACACCTTTTATCATTATTATCATTTGTCTTTTAAGAGCCTGGGTTTTGAATGGATAAAGAGAATCCTCAGCTAGTTTGTTGGTTCTACTTGATTGGGATGTAAAAGATTCTTTTTTGGGGGAATGGCAGACAAGGCCTACTTCTAAAAAATACACATTCTTTTATACTTTTGCCTTTCTTGGCATTTAAGTCATCAAAACTGATGAAAGTGGTAATTAGGGGGACTTACTGCACATCTGGAAAGCAATTTGGGAAAATGTAAAGGCAGCTGTGCCACCCTGTTCTAAATTATTATCTGGAGTGAGCAGTGGATATTACAGCATATTGCAGAGTGTGAAATGTTGGCTTTCTTTGGCCAGAGTTGAGTCAACAGCTGCTTTCTTCCTCATGAGCAACAGATATATCTTTCAGGTCTCCAAATTATTGGGGGGAGTTTTAAGTGATTGGGAATGGGATAGGGAATTTCACTACTAAGGAAAAAAAGTTTGATCAGTAGCTTGCAAACTTTATAACTGAAGAGATGGCTTTGAAGATGCTTGTGATATTTGAAGTTTGTATTTGGTCTTAACCTTGTTTACTGGCAAAACAAGTTGGAATCTCTAAAGTGACCTGTCTTTTTGTATGCTAAAGAGTTGACTGATGGCTAACCACCCCGAGGTAGCTTCAGGATGGGGGCTGGTCACAGGAAAGACCCTGGCAGGATTACCCTTTGGGAGTTTCAGCCCCACCCCGCAACCTGCAAGGAGGGGGAGAGGGGCTGAAGGTTGAGCCAGTCACCAATGGCCTTTGATTTAATCAATCGTGCCTACGTAATAAAGCTTCCCTAAAAATCCAAAGAGTGGGTTCTGAGCTGAATACTTGGAGGTTTCTGGAGGGTGGCAGTCTAGAGAGGGCAGGGAAGCTCTGAGCCGCTTCCCCCATACCTTGCCCTATGCATCTCTTCATCTGGTGTTCATCGGTATCCTTTGCAATAACCTTTATTATTAACCGGTAAATGTAAGTATAGTGTTTCCCTGAGTTCTGTGAGCTGCTCTAGCAAATTAATCAGACCCAAGGAGGGGATTGTGGGAACCCCACTTTGTAGCTGGTAAAACAACCTGAAGCTTGCTATTGCTGTCGGAAGTGGAGGGCAATCTTAGGGGACGGAGCCCTCTACCTGTGGGATCTGACCCTGTCTCCAGGTTGATAGAATTGGATTGAAATAGAGAACCCCTAGCTGGTGTCCGCTGCAGAGCTGATTGCTTGGTTGGTGTGGGGGCAAAACCCACACACATCAGGTTGATGTCAGAAGTGATCTGTGCTATAAGAGTATAGGAGAAACTGAGTTTGTTTTTTCCTGCATCATCAGAATGTTGTTAGGATATATGAGAAAGGAGAGAAAAAGGGGAAAAAGTAGTTTGAACAAAGCTATATAAACATTTGTCTTCTAATTTTTTTTCTGGTGGCTTTGATTAGTCCAAGAAAACAGTCTGCTGTGATAGGTCTGACAGTCCAGAAACATGAAAGCTGGTTACTATTGACAGAAACCAGAACTCCACATCGGAGCACCTCGGCGTGGGGCTCTGTGTATAAGAGAGTGATTGGTTTCCACTCCGGAACAGCAAGCCACAGGAAGGTGTGTGGGCTGTAACCCCCTTAACAAGTTCACTTGGGTATCAGAAGACCAGGACGTTTGTTCTAGTTGGTCAAAGGTGGCAGGTGTCTTTCATTTCCTGGATGGTTGAAGGCAGAAGTCTCTGGATGAGGATAGCATCACATCCCCGAGAGACCACAGCAACTCTGAAGAGCCCAGGATCTCCCAGGGGCCTGGGCAGTGGTGGGGCTTGGGTCCGTAACTCATGAAAAGTTGCTTCCCTTTGCCCTCAAAGTCACATTGAGAAGGATGCCCCTTTGATTTTATTCCCAATATATGCTGGGGAGAGGAGCTGAGAAAACGTGAGGTGCTCCAGGTGAATGCGGATGGTGAGGGCTTTGTTTCTTTGAAGTGTAAGCAGACATCCCTAGTTTAATGGGGTGGGTGCTCCGATGCTAAAGATTGCCCAGTTCCCTTTGTCCTGGGCACTGCCCAGGTGCTTCCTCGAGTGGCCCAGGCAGCCATGGCATCGAGCCCTTGCCTCCCAGGGGCTGGCGCTTTGCTTTCCTAGTCATGGCTGTTAGTAGCTGTGGTCAGCACAGATGAGCCCACGGAAGCTGCTCTTCTGCCCTCCTCCTCTCCTGGTTTCCTCCGGCAGTTTCCCTCAGTTCCGTGCGTGTGTGCGTGTGTGCGTGTGTGTGTGTGTGCACGTGTGTGTGAGTGTTGATGGCGATTGGGGGGGTCCCTGCCTTACACTGCTGGAGGATGCTGCCTGTGGCTGTCTGGCTCCTCTCTGACCCCCAACACCAGTCCACAGGCCTTCGCTGGGCTGGAAATGGGGACCCCAGGTGAGGGGGACTGAGAGCCAGGCTGGTACGTTTGGGGTTTATTTTGCAGGGTGGGCGAAGGGCGTGGCATGGAAGGCTCTCAGTGGAGGGAGACACGGTCAGATCTCTGCTTAGCAAGATCACTTTGGTGGCAGATCGGGCCAGGTGGGGAAGGAGATGGAAAACCAGTTGGGAGGTTGTGGATGTTTGTGCTGTGGCCCAGGGGGCATGTGTTGTTGAGTTGCAACGAGTCAGGGCAGTCCTCGGGATTATAATTTGATTTATCACGCCATATTTCAGGAACCCCACCTTCAGCTGTTCTGGCCTGGCTCCCTCTCCACCCAAGAGATTCTTTTTGTTTTCCGGCAGTTTCCTTTCCTGGAGGCAGTAAAGCAAAAATGGGAGGCTGCTGTGCATGTCCTCAGAGGGTCGGCAGCAGATTTCCATCCTGACTGATGTCATTGCCGTCCTGGACATGTGACCATCCACATTTTGAGGAGGGGGGGCTCCCGCCTTGGCTGCTGTGGGTCTGTGTGTCTAGCCAGTCATCTCAGACAGACAGACCGACTGTAGAGAGGGAATGACTTTTGCCCAGACATGTTCAAATGTTGAAAGATCTTCCTGGCCTTGGAAGAAGCCTTCTTATCCCTAGCTCTGTACTAGGAACTTTGAAGCAGTTACCTCAAATGTAGCACATGTTACTGGTGGGAAAGGAAGGAGCTTTTCTAAAAAATCATTTCTTTCGATTTCTGTTTCTCCTCTCCCTTAGTTCTGTAAAATCAGCAAATGCAGCAGTTGGGTAGGGATGGTCCTCACCCTGCCTGACCAGGCTTTAGGTCTTGAGCAGTAGGGCTTGGGGAGAAACCTGACTCCCAAGCCCTGCCTGCACCTACGGCTGTTCTGCAGAAGCAGGCATTACTGCCATGGGTGCTGCACCAACATGAAATAATCGGAGGGGCTGGCAGGCAGTCTGTAAAATGGAAAATATGCATGCAACTTTATGTTGTCTAAAAGTTGTATTTTCCTCGGTTGTCTTGGTAAACTCATTTTCCTTGGTTGTCTTGGTCAAGTCATTTATTCGTGCCAGGGAGTAACATATCGGGAGGTAAAAAGGAGCCGAGGAGAGGGGATGTCTTTCTGCACGAATGAATTGACGGAAGAAATGGCACAGCTTACAAATGGATGCAGCATCTGTCTCCTCCATGTAGGTGCTCAGACTTGCATTTAGGAATCCACTCACCTAAAGATAGACTGCAGTTTGAACATGGTCTTCTAGTGATTATTAGACTACAGTAAGTTTTGAGCACTTACTATGTGCCAGGCAGAACATATGAGCAGGCTAAGGTCTGAGTGCTCCCCACGTGACGTAGGTGCTGTGATCATTCCAGTGTTCCTGAGAGACGAGAAACAGGCCCAAGGCCACTGAACCAGTACAAGGCAGCAGAGTTTGGTGTAAACTCAGAGAATGGGCTCCAGAGCAACTACTTGGGCACTTGCCTCGGTGAAGAGACAAGTGACGTGTTTACTTATTTATTTAGGTGCATTTGTAGCATGTCCTCTTGCACCTGTACTTGGAATGATTAATGAATAAGTCTAATGAATAATATGAATATAATGACTAGAATAATGAATAATGAATACAAATGAACATAAATGACAAAAAGATTTTCCACTTTTGTGAGAGCCTTATGAGATGATGTATGGTGAGCTATGTCTGAGATGCAACATCTCCCCGTTGGTTTCTGAATTCTCAGGCTCCAGTTCGAATTTCTGGAGGTGGTCCTGGCATCTGTCTCTTTCATGAGCTTCTTAGGAGGTGCTGGTGTGGCCACGGGCTGCACTGGGCATTAGGGGGCCTCTTACACTGTGCCCTTGCAAAGGCACTTCGCTGGCATTTTCTGCTAGTCCCAATAGGCAGGTAGAGAGGTACAGGTTGAAGCCCATGGCCTTGGCACCAGACAGTCCCAGGCTGGAGATCTGGCCTCTTTGCTTCTTGGTCCTGGGATCCGTGGGGCAGCCACTCAACTTCTTTGAGCTACTGTTTGCCCATTGATACAGTGAGGAAAAAAAACAGGCCCCATCTCAGAGGGCTGTCCTGCAATTAGGAGATCTCACGTGGGAAACTTAGACTGGCGCTTAATGCTCGCCTCTTAATTAAATACAGGCAGTTACTTCTACAGACGCTGCATAGAGGGAGGTCCAGTGGCTGCGGGCTTTTCCAAGGTGCACTGCCCTGACCACCTGTGTTCTTTTCCTGTTTCTTCCTGCTGCTCAGGACGGCTCACTGGGAAACATCGACGACCTGGCGCAGCAGTATGCAGACTATTACAATACCTGCTTCTCCGACGTGTGCGAGAGGATGGAGGAGCTGCGGAAACGGCGGGTTTCCCAGGACCTGGATGTGGTGAGTGGAGGTGCTGGGCATAGACCTCTGCTGAGCAGGCTGCTCAGGTTCAGGCTCCTCCTGGGTCCTCCTCGCAGTCCTGGCCTGCCTGGGGCACCTGTCTGCAGGCTGCTGCACTAGTGCAGGGTAGACATGCGGATCCCCAGAGGACCAGCCCGGTCCTGCTGCAGGCGTCAAACTGAGTGAGTGTTGGATGGGGCAGTAGGGTCAGATCTTTGCACTCATTAAAACACTAGATTTTTATTTCTGGTTTTTTTTTTTTTTTTTACTTAAGGGAAAAGGATGTTTTTATTATATTACATTTTTATCAGCTCTATGCCCAAAGAGTGTCTAAGCCAGTTCTTTTTTCTCTTTCCTTCCCTTTTTTTTCTTTCCTCCCCTTCTCCTTTTTTTGAAAAACAATATAAAATTTAAAAGAAGCAAGAAATCACCCATAATCTCTCATGTAGCAATAACCATGTGGGTATTTTGATAGGTACCCTTTCAGTGTTTTTCTGGGCATTTTAAAATCAGCAGTACAACCCTGTGTGTGTGTGTGTGTGTGTGTGTGTGTGTGTGTGTGTGTGTATATATGTATGTGTATATATATATATATATATATATAAATCACTTCTTGCTTTTTTACTTAACATTTTATTATAATTCTTCTTCCACGTCTTCGTGACTTCTTTGTCATCACTGTCTTTCATTGCTATATTCTCCTCTCTCACTTAGGTGCACTGAAATTCATTTGGCTGTTTCGTAAAGACCTTTATGTGTGTAATTAGTGGAGCGTTTGGACTTGCGTGTGGTAGTAAATGACTGGCTTAGGTGAGCTCCGTTTAATTTGTACGTGTGCTAGTAGTTCCATGCTGTACCTTCCCTACATAGTGTCTTACTGAAGCTTCTATATTTATCAGTTTAAATTTGCTACATATCAGATTCATTTGAGTTCCCTGCCATTCGGATTGTTTTGTTTCACTGGGTTGACCTCAAGACCTCCTCGGGAAGACGGTGGGGAGGTGAGACAGAAGAAAAGACTCAACCCTCTTTATCCTCTCATCCAGACCAGCTCCTTTTGGACCATCTCATGTACAGGGGGGCTACGTGGCTCTGTTTTGAATAACAAAGTTCCTCTGCCTTTGAAAAAAGTTTGAAAACTGCTGATTCAGTGGAATCTTTCTTCCCTCCCCAGCCCCCACCTGAACAAATCTACTTAGGCTGAGAACAAAAAAAAAAACACCCCAATAATTAAGCAACTAATTTAGAACTAATTATGAACAGATAGTTCTTTTATTAATCATTCCTTTTATGTTATACAGAAGGATTCCTCTTATGTAACGGACCCAACAAGCAGTTGAGTACCACTGTTGTATATTCTCTTTCCACCACAAGACTATGGCACTTTTCTTTCTTTCCTTAGCTCAACCGAAGTAAAGATTCTTTGGGTCAGGAGTAATCTGATATTATGACTGCCAAACATTAATAGTTTCTCTTGCTTTTTTTCCCTACTGATTTAGTAATCCACAGGGATGGGAGTTAGTTTAATTAAGTTGGTTGAGGCTGGGAAGTGTTAGTTGGGGGCAGAACACCATCGTCCCGGGAGCCTGACACCTTGACCTAGGTGGGTATCGTGGTTGTTAAGGGCTTCTTTCTTGTAACTTTGTTCCCTACCATGTGTGAATGGTGAGGGTATTTCCTTTTTATGAAGAAAGTAACCTCATGTGTCAAAAGACTTCTGTGATCTATTAAAATTCATTAGGTTCTCCTATTGGAACTCAGTTAATGAAAAAGTACTTTCATTTTGGCAAGATTGCCACAGAACAGCTTAAATTTTGCACTGAATTCTTGAATGTTTCAATTTTTACCTCAACTTACAGTCTGGTAGTATACTTCATGGCCTGCTTGGACATTTTACTGTGCAAGGTAATGATTGCTGTGAGTTGGTAGATCGTTGATTCCACGCTAAACTGCTCTTCTCACAATTCTAGTTGGTTAGGAGTTGGGGTTACCATGGCGATCATCTCATGGTGTTTGGGAACCTGGGAAGGCAGCTTCTACATAAGAAAGGAAGCCTGCCTGTTGGTGGGATAAATAACCTCCTTCCCATTTATTTTTATTTTTTTGAGACAGAGTCGTGCTCTCTCGCCTGGACTAGAGGGCAGTGGCATCATCATAGCTCCCTGCAGCCTCCAACTCCTGGGATCCTGCCTCAGCCTCCCAAGTAGCTGGGACTACAGACACATGCCACCACTCCTGGCTAAGTTTTCTGTTTTTTGTAGAGACAGGGTATCCCGCTTGCTCAGGCTGGTCTCGAACTCCTGGCTTCAAGCTATCCTCCTGCCTTGGCCTCCCAAAGTGCTGAGATTGCAGGGGTGAGCAACCACGCCCGGCTATTCCTTCCCATTTAGACAGATGGGGCTAATTTGTTGTCCTCTGTTCCAGAGCTACAAAAGATGGTCTTGGGGGGAAAATACACCACATCAATTTAACTAGTTCCCATTAAAGGTGCAAGAATTTGGTGATGAGTGAAATGGATGGGACCTAATTCAAGCCAGGCTGGAAGCTTGACTGTTCATTCTTTGAATTGTAATTAGCAAGAAAAGTAAGACCCCAAATTGGCATATTCAAATTCTTTCTATGAAATTCCAGGTACTAAAACGGCTGAAGACCAGGTCAGGCACTAGGTGTTTCATGTGTCCTTCACACGGCTCAGACGTCTAGACGTCAGTGTTAGACTGGACTAGTTTTGAAGTTATCCATCATTGAGGCAATGCCCGAAACACTACCAACCTACTAAAAGTTCCCTCTCACCCTCGTTAACAGATTTCGACACCTGGTGGGAACTCATTGTCCTGAAAAGCTGTAACTTTCAGTCCGTAATGTTTCCTTTTATTACTTCCAAATTTTATATGTATTTCTACACTTTCTATTCTGCCTTCAGACAAGTAGGCAAACTGCCTCCCTGCTTTGCTGCTGGGTTGGAGCAGCTTTGGGGTTGAGGACCTGCAGGTGAACACTTCCTTTCTGTGTGTGTCAGCATCCCCACAAAGCTGAGTGTGAGATGGCTGGGAGAAGAAATAGTCCACCAGAGGCCATAAGATGAGACATAGAGTAACACATTAGAAGCCCAAGACATTTTATAGGGGAAAAAGTAGCACATTTGTTGTGTCTGCTGTAGAAAAAGTCATTTAGGACTGGGGTCCCCAACCCCTGGGCCACACAGCAGGAGGTGGGGTGGGGTGAGGAGGAGCCAGCAAAGCTTCACCTTATTTACAGCCGCTCCCCATCACTCGCATCACCGCCTGAGCTCCGCCTCCTGTCAGATGAGCAGCGGCATTAAATTCTCACAGGAGCGGGAACCCTACAGTAAACTGCATGCGAGGGATCTAGGTCGTGGGCTCCTTATGAGAATCTAATGCCTGATGATCTGAGGTGGAGCTGAGGTGGAGATGCTAGTGCTGGGGATCGGCTGCAAATACAGATTATCATTAGCAGAGAGGTTTGACTGCACAATAAATGTAATGTGCTTGAATCATCCTGAAACTACCCTCCCTCCCCTGTCCACAGAAAAATTGTCTTCCCTGGTGCCAAAAAGGTTGGGGACTGCTGTTAGAAGACAGTGTTGAGGATGGAAAGTTTTGAGGGATGGATTGAATCAGTTTATGACTTTGTTTCATTCTAAATCCTCTGGGTGAATTTTGGGGATTGAGGAAATATTCTATAGATAGGATAGATATTTCGGTATTTCTGTTTGGCTTCAAAAAGTTAAAAAATGCATTGTCCTTAAGAGCTAATTACGTCGTCAACTGGAGAACAAACAAACCAAAAGACACCCCTCCCGCAGAGATGCTTGACTTAACCCTGAAAAATAAAAGGTTTCGATAATTATGTTAATAATTAACTTTCTGGACTGGATGTCAGGCTCTTTCTCTAGGACCTAATCACCCTCATCCCGACTGGGATAAAGCATGTGATAAAGTGTCTTTGGGGCCAGTTAGTTTCGATGAAGACAACAGAAGTACAGATGGGTAAAATTTCAACAGTATAAACAGGGATTATGATTCACATTTATAACTATGGTGAGAGTTTGTATTCAGCACCAAATGGGCCCTAAAGGAATGGTGTGTTTGGACCACAGCCTTTGCCTCTGCTGGGGATTGGGACATTAGTGCTTGTGAACAGCAGGGAAGTTGCCCATATTTCTCCACATTTGGCGCATCCCCGAGCACCGCGTGATTCTTTTTTGGCTGGGAGAAGCTGCAATCAGAAATGCCAGTAGCTTTCCAAGTCCATAATGGGCCCAACTCTAGTGATGCTAAGTCTGACATCTGTCAAAGTGACACCGTGGCCAGGAAAGGATCTTGTGCAAGGTGGCCTCTTATTACTGGCAGTATCAACTTCCTTGGCATCCTTGAGGTTGAATCTGTTTGGGTGTTGGCAGCAAATAGGTTTGTGTGGTTGTTGATGGGGCACAGAGCCGACGAAGTCCCCACCTCCAGCAGCACACGTCTGTGCCAAGGCGTTATCGTGACTGTGCGTGTACAAGGAAAAGGGAGCCCAAGTGCAGACGGAGATGCACCAAGGTCTTTAAGAACTTGGAATGTCAATAAAAATATTGTATGACAGTAAAATGTGGTATCAGAATGCTTGTTGGTGGGGTAGGAATGATTCTGTATGAGGCAAGTAAACAGACTATTAAAATGCTGTGCAGGAATGCAGAAGAGGGCCTGTGACCCAGTTTAGGAAAGTCAAAATGTGAAAGTTTACTGTGGCTAGAAACTAAGATACATTATGTAGGGAAAAGAGACATGGTGTTCTTTCACAGGACCTTAGATTATTAATGAAATAAAAAGATACAATAGGATGTTGTTCTGATTCATTGCTATTCATGTGACAAAACAAAACTGATTGCCATTTCGCAATCTTGACCGAGTGGGTCAAGGTGAACTTGATCTTGCTTTGCTTGTGGCTTAATGCAGACATGTACACATAGTCCAGTCTGTGTGTGGGTTTTTGTT